CTTAATGTGTTGAATTTTTTAAGCACGGGTCGGTAGCTACTGTAATAATTTCTTACATTCTTGGTGGCCAGTTTCAATTCTTTTAGCAAAAAGTATCTTCCGGAGAAACCTCTGTCGTTAGCGACAAAAACCTTTAGAGAAACTGTGCAAAAAACGCATTTTCGCACTGGCAGCTGGTGAGCTGGCCAATTTTTTTCATTCAGATCTCATCAGCCGAATTAGAGAACGAGAAGCACTGACGCGACAGTGTATCGAATGCTCGAAGTGGGTGAAGTGTGATGAGCAGTTTCAGTGTGAAACTTGCGACGCTTTTCCATCTGAAGCGGTATTACTAATATTTGCAGATATTGTTAAATGCATTGCGGTAAATCATAGGCTGCACTAGTCATGGTCACAGAACTTTTGGGATCATTTCAGAGAAACAGCTGTGAGCACTACGTTGGCTCATTCTTTTCTGGTCAGTGACTAAGAGTATTGACAAGGAGGCAAGAAATTATTACTTGGGGAGGGGGGTAAGTAGCAGTGATGTTAAAAGTGGTATGGAATTGCTGAAGGTATTGGGCTGATTGGTACTGTCCAGAATGCTGAGCTATAGGGTTTTCTGAAAGCCTCTAAAGCGGAGATGCGCATCACTGATAGTGGGTAATTTTGCGATCCATAATTTTAGTCCACTGATAAGCGTGCGAGTTGGCTTATTTTTGTTTGGAGAGAAATCTCTGATGATGGATTTCTGCAGCAAGTTTCCACAAATTGCTGCAAATGTTTACGCGCTGCTAGATTGACTTTTACTGCTCTCGTTGCTTTAAAACTTTTCTTCTTCCCTTAGAAATTTACACTATATTTGCTATTCATATAAAAAATTTGTATAGATCGCAGCTCATAGTGAATGGTAAACCTCGTTTAAGACTAAATGAGGCCGCGAGACCGATAGCAAACAAGTATCGTGAGGGAAAGTTGCAAAGAACTTTAAAGATATGTGTACATATATCTTCAAACTTTGAAGATATGTGTACATATACTTTGAAGATATGTGTACATATATATACATAGATGTACATGTATGTGTGTACATATATATGTATATATATGTGTATATGTATGTGTGTATATGTATGTGTATGTATACATGTGTGAATTTTTTTATATAAACAGCAAATTTGAAGTTAATTTTACTGATAATAATAATGTTTTCATCAACATCGCTGCTGAAGATTACTGTTAACATAATCATTAATATTAGTGTTATTGTTAACATTGTCATTGATATTATTGTTAACGTTATCATTAGTATTATTAATGTTATTAATATTACCAGTAACACTGTTGTAGATACTTCCATCAGTATTATTGCTGATGTTATTAATACTATTGTTAATATTATTAAAACTATTATTAATATTATCATTAACATTATTACTAATACTGCTATTAATATCATCAATGTTATTATTAATATTATTACTGACATTGATCGTTAACATTGTTGTTAATACTGCTGTTAATATTATTGTTGACCTTATGATTAATACTATCATCAATATTGTCAGTGACAATATTAATAATATTTTTATTAATGTTATCGTTAACACTGTCACTAACATTTTTATTAATTTTGTTGCTAATGTTATTATTACTGTTGTTGTTGGTATCATTATAATTATTATGATAATAATTATTGTTATTATTGCTATTATTGTTGTTGTTGCTACTATTATTATTATGGCTTTGCTCGCTACTGTTACTACTTTATTCTTATTTCTATCTGAATCATTTTCACAGCCTCTGTTAAAAATGGGCTTAAAATTTAAAAAACCCTCTTGTGGGATATCATAAACTGATCAGAAAGCTGAATTAACCGATCATAAGCTGCATTAGCTGCGCATTTGCTCTTCCATTACGGAATTAGTATAAGGTTTGGGAGTTGCCACCACCAATTTTGCACCCAGTTGAACCAGTTTGGACAGAAAGTTAGAGGAAATAAACTTTTTTCGTCTTCATGAGTGTTAGTCAAAGTTGCCTGTTGGTAATAAGCGAGAGGATGTAAAATTCAGCTGGAGAGGTTCAGGTACTGGGTACAGTGGATCTAGAACTTTCCGAGGAAGACTCAAAATTTAACAAAATAAGGAGCGCTGAATTGAGCTAGAACGCGAGTAACTGAGCTCACAAGTGCGCGATTTAACGCTAGGGCGCTAAAAATACCACAGTTATGCGGCCGGAACACGAAAGTAAATGCCGTCTGTAAAATTGTGCATCCCTTCTTTATCGGCGCTGGGCACGCTGTGTTAGCTGCTTACAAACATTTTAAAAATAAACAGTCTGTGTGATTGTTCTGTGATAATACAGTTTAAACATAAAAACCACTGTTGTCTTTAAATTAGGGAACAAAAGAACGCGTGTTGCAGAAGCAGTTCTGATCTCCTTGCTTTTCTTTGGCGATGGTCGCCAAGCTTTCGTTCGAGTCCTGTTCGCTTTTGGCTTATCCAGAAATGAATGCTGCTCACTCAAAATCCCAGAGGTTGTTGTACTACGGATTGAATGTGCCAAATCGCCAGGTGCTGTGGCTCGGAGTTTTTGTTGAGTTAATGTTAATACAACGATAAGCATTGATAGGACAGTAACAAATGCCCATCTTATCGCAGGTGGTCCGATGTGCTTCGTGCGTAATGCGCGTTCATGCAAAGAAAGGACACAAGGTGACGAAGTTCGGAGAAACTGATGAAGGCATTAAGTCGACGGTGGATCTGATCACATCTATCCAGAAATCTGCGGAAGAGCAAACAGAGACGTGCTTTCGTTCTGTATCTGCTTGCTGTAGCTTTCTGGAAAAAATCCCGAAGGTTTGTGAATTGACCAAAGCACTGCGTAGCACGCCTTCATTTCACTGATTTAGTCATAGCACGTACCACTCTTCCAGTAGTGAATCATAGAGGTTGAGCGATTGTCTACCAGCAGTGTGAAATCAGTACCCGGTCATCGTCGAATTTGTTAGCGTATGTTTTATGGTTTTGCCTAATCATTAAGTAGTTCATGTATACTAGTAACATTTGCTTGTATTTCCTTTTTCTGGCATTCTTTGTTTCCCCGTTGAAATTTGCTATAGTTCAGGTAATGAGGGAGCATCTTGCGCGTTTTGAGGGGCTCAAATCGGGCATTGCAAATCGCCACTTTGTTCCGAAAAAGGACCTCAATGAGCGAGTGATGCGTGCGGATCAAATGCAACTTGTATACGTAGAGGTATGTACAGTCTTTATTTTTAGGGTGAAAATTTTGACTTGTTCCAGTGGAACGGCATGTGGTTTGTTCTGGAAGTAATATTTGGAAAGAAAGCAGTGCACGGATTTTACTAGTCTATGACTGCCGTTAAGTGCTTTCGCATGAAGTATCAGCGGGTGCCCTTGATGAGTAAAATGCTTGAACTGAACGTCCTGTCTGTTCATGAAGTATAATTAGAGGAGGAAGTGGTTTTTCAGTTACCACAGGCGTGACCTCGTCATAATTGAAGTGGTCATTTTAGCAACGCTTTTCTTACATAAGACGAGTGCCTGGGCCGTTTTCCTGGTGCAGTGATGCTATTTATAGAACTCAGAAAGAGAGGCTAT